ATATTATTACTCAACTTAGAGACCAACCTTATTTGCCATGATATTTCCTAGCCACATGCCATAAAACCAACTCATCCCTACCCCGGATATTTGAGAGCTTATTCTTACATTTCCAATTTGTTTTAAAAATAATTGCCCCAAACGAGTCTGTATTGTTAATAATTATCCACAATGGGCTCAGGAGTTTGCAAGCCCCTGGAAGAGTGAGGAGTTTATAAAAGTCATCTATCCATGGATATGGGACTCTTGAGCCCAACTACACCATCACATGTTTTTTTGTTTTGTTTTAAGATTTTATTTATTTGTTTGAGAGAGAGAGAGAGCATGATGGGTGGGGGCATGCAGAGGGAGAAGCAGACTCCCTGCTGAGCAGGGAGGCCGATGCAGGGCTTGACCTCAGGACCCTGACCTGAGCCAAAGGCAGATGCTTAACTGACTGAGCCACCCAGGTGCCCCATCACCTGTTGATAATCAGTATTGGTATTATTACCATTTATTTTTTTTATTTTTTTAAAGATTTTATTTATTTATTTAATTGACAGAGAGAGAGAGAGACAGCAAGAGAGGGAACACAAGCAGGGGGAGTGGGAGAGGGAGAAGCAGGCTTCCCGCGGAGCAGGGAACCCGATGTGGGGCTCGATCCCAGGACCCTGAGATCATGACCTGAGCCGAAGGCAGACGCTTAACCAACTGAGCCACCCAGGCGCCCCTTATTACCATTTATTGAGAAATGCTCTGTGCCAGGGCCAGGCATCTTGCACTTACCACAACACCACTAGGAGGTTCATATATTTATCCTCATCTTATTCCCAAGGAAGAGTAGGTTTAGTTTAGGGAGGTCAAGAAACTTGGCTGTGGCCACACACTGAATTTGAACCCAATATTATTTTATTTGATCCAAAACAGCTTTTTCCTCACTTCTTTCTAATTTTATGCTGGGATGTAAGAAAACATTTTGGCCTAAAGTAAACAGTGGAAAATATTCCAGACTGGGAGTTGAGACACTGGGTTTTACTCCTGGCTCTGTCACTAATAAACAGTCCACGCTTGGGCAAGTCCCTCTCTGGACCACAGTTCCTCATTACTAAAAATAAAAGGTTGGGTTAAGACCTTCTCTGGCTCAAAAATTGCTATAGACCAGGCACTAGGCTAAGCATTTTACAAGTGTTGACTTATTTATATCTCACCAAAGCCCTATCACATAGGGACTATTATTGTGCCCATTTTACAGGTGAATACACTGAGGCACAGTTATTACATTATTTTTCCAAAGTCACAAAACCGGTACATGGGATTTCAACCCAGGCACTCTGGCTCCAGAGTCTATGATCTTTCTAAACTAGGCAACATCAACAGCCACCTCATAACATCTTTAGCAGCATTATTCTCTCCCCATCCCCACCTTCCCCCCTACTTCCCTTCCCTTCCTTTCCCTTCCCTTCCCTTCCCTTCTCTTCTCTTCTTCTTTTTTTGAGGGTGGAGGCAGAGGGAGAGGAAGAGAGAAAATCCCAAGCAGGCTCCGTGCCCAGCACAGAGCCCGATGCGGGGCTGGATCTCACAACCCTGAGACCACCACCTGAGCTGAAATCAAGAGTCGGACGCTTAACAGACTGAGCCAGCCAGGGGCCCCCTCCTACCTTTTGAGTGCAAAAACTGAGACTTAGAGAATTTATTATGTCCCAAGTCCCACAGCCAGTCAAGGGTAAAACCAGGATGGGATGGGAATGAAGCCCAGGCAGTTCATCATCAGAGTCTAGGGTCAAAGTCTCAAGGGTCAGAACATGAGAGACCACAGCTCCGTAACCCCCAGAGAATCTTGCCAAAGAACCCTGGAAACACCCACGCCGACCTCACACGGCCACACCTTCCTCTCTCAACTCCAGCCTGGCTGCATCCGCCCCCCTCCACCCCGCCCTGCTCTTTTCCTCCCCTCTTAGGAAACCCGTTGCCTGGAAATCAGAAATTAGAACTGCAAGTGCCTGAGGGAGCCTGCCCTGGGGCACTGGTGGTGGTGGTGGTGGTGGTGGTGGTGGTGCAGCTTCCAGAACATTCCCTGCTGCAGGCTGTGAGAGAGGGGTCTCCCTAGCAGGTCCTCACCGTCCGCATTCCTCCAGGCCCAGTGTTGAATTAATTACCTGGTACTCACAAGTCAGGTAGAAAAGGGAGCTCGGGCAGCTGGCCTAAGACAGTCCTAGGGCTGTCGCTTTGAGACTCTGGTTTTGTTTTTACTCATTTAATGTAAGTATATCTTTTTTTTTTTAAGATTTTATTTTTGAGTAATCTCTATACCCAATGTGGGGCTCAAACTCACAACCCCAAAATCAAGATTCGCATGCTCCACCGACTGAGCCAGCCAGGCACCCCGAGTATATCTTTTTAAATAGAAAACACACACATAATAAGAAGTCAAATAACAAAAAGCATATAGTATCTAGTGAATATGATTCTTCATCTTTTTTTTAAGATTTTTTAAAAAATTTATTTGAGAGAGAGACAGAATGAGCAGTGGGGAGGGGCAGAGAGAGAGAGGAAAGGAGAGAGGGAGAGAAGCAGACTCTCTGCTGAGATGGAAGCCTGACGCAGGGCAATGTGGGGCTCGATCCCAAAACCATCCCAAACCCGAGATCGTGACGTGAGCCCAAGGCAGATACCCAGGCTCCCCTGCTTCTTCATCTTACCCCTGCCCCTGACTTCACCTCCCGAGACCACCTCCTTCTTGTACATCCAGACAAAGGTATTCTTGCACGTGTGACCATACAAGTATAGGTTTTCTTTCTTTTTTTTTTTTTAAAGATTTTATTTATTTATTTGACAGAGAGAGACACAGAGAGAGAGGGAACACAAGCAGGGGGAGTGGGAGAGGGAGAAGCAGGCTCCCCGCTGAGCAGGGAGCCAGGGGCTCGATCCTGAGACCTGGGATCATGACCTGAGCCGAAGGCAGACGCTTAACGACTGAGCCCCCCAGGCACCCCCAGGTACAGGCACACGCGATATACACTGCTCTGTATCTTCCTATTTATTTCTATTTAGCAATGCAGCTTGGAGATTATTCCTTGTCAATCCCTAAATACTCTCTCCCTTTTTTAAAAAGATGCCGCGGAGATTTCTGCTGTAGGGCCGTGCTGTAATTTATCTGACCAGTCTCCTCTCATGACTGTTGAGGCTGTTTCTTTTTTTCTTTTTTTTTTTAAAGATTTTATTTATTTATTCATGAGAGACAGAGAGAGAGAGAGAGGTAGAGGGAGAAGCAGGCTCCCAAGGAGCAGGGAGCCCGATGTGGGACTCGATCCCAGGACTCCGGGATCATGACCCGAGCCGAAGGCAGATGCCCAACCATCTGAGCCACCCAGGCGCCCGAGGCTGTTTCTGATCGGAAGCTCCGACAAGTCGGCCTCGTGAATCTCTGGTGTTTGTGTTGCATTTACCATGCAGGCCCCTCTGAGATGCATATGTCACGTGGGTCAAGGAGGATGGGAGCAGAGTTTATGGCTTGCCCTCCCCCAGCCCGCAAGGCATATATTACTGCTGGAGTTTGCTCCATAGGGCCGTAGTGCCAGGACAATTCGTCCGTGGACGTACAGCTCAGAAAAATGCATCCAGACGGCAGCTCAGCAGAGCACTGAGATCTGGTAGCTGCAGCAGCAGTGAAAATACCCTGTGAGCCTTCCCGCATATGTCTGGCCCAGTATGCCATGGTCATCTTTTGTAGCAGGACCTTCAGGCCCAGGGACTGGGCTGGTTCTGGAACTTGGGCAGTGGGAGGCGTGGCCTATCACTCAGGGTGATGTGGGCCCACAGACAGGGAAGGAGAGAACAGGGTGGGGTCCTCTGGAGACTACCAAGCTATGGCTGTTTCTCTTAGGAAGGGACCTGAGCCCTTTAAATCAGTTCAGTTCTCGGGCCGCCTGGGTGGCTCAGCCGGTTAGGCAGCTGCCTTGGGCTCAGGTCATGACCTTAGGGTCCCGGGATTGAGCCCCACGGGCTTTCTGCTCAGTGGGGAGCCTGCTTCTCCCTCTCCCTCTACTGCTCCTCCTGTTTGTGCTTGTGTTTTTTTTTTTTTCTCTCTCTCTCTCAAATAAAAAAAAAAAATCAGTTCAGTTCTTATATTCTCTTGCCTGAGGTGAAAGCTTTTGGGGAGGCTTTTTGAAAAGCCAACAGCTGAATGTCTGCGTCTGCCAGGCTTTGTTCCAAGACGCCTGGCTTGTCTGTCAGCCCTGGGTGAGCCCCTCTGTGATTTCCCTTCCAAAAGAGACACCAACCCTGGGACCCCCCCCCCCGCCCCCACAAATACACTCCGCCAGGACAGATGAGAAACCTTTTTTTATCTTGAGGCCATTGTCCCAGCCCTCCTCTCAACAAAAATTAGTGACAACTAGAAAGCCATTCATTGATTCCCTGCCACCACCACATTTTTATCATGAAAATTCTGAAACATAGAGAAAACTTGAGAGAATTTTGCAGGGAACTCCCATCTATTTACCCCTTAGATTCTACAATGAATATTCTGCTAGATTTGCTTTCCTTTCTAAGATACTCTCCCATCTCTCCAGGCCACCGACGCTTGAGGTTTTTTTAAAAGCCTGGCCTAAAAACTCAATTCATTTGTTTTTAAAACTTCAGAACGGAGGGGCGCCTGGGTGGCTCAGTTGGTTAAGCGACTGCCTTCGGCTCAGGTCATGATCCTGGAGTCCCGGGATCGAGTCCCGCCGGGCTCCCTGCGCAGCGGGGAGTCTGCTTCTCCCTCTGACCCTCCCCCCCCTCATGTGCTTTCTCTCTCATTCTCTCTGTCTCTCAAATAAATAAATAAAATCTTTAAAAAAAAAAAACTTCAGAACAGAAACTTAATGCCTTATTTAGTGAACACAGAATAATTTTGTTCCATTCCAAATTAGGCTGCGTGGAAGGAAGAGAGAAAAGAGGTGAGAAGAAAAGGAAGAGGGGAAGACAAAGAGGGGTTGAGAGAGATGAGAAAGGGGGCCGGGGGGGGGGTGTGGGCGTGAAGACAGAGGAAAGGTCTCGGCGTTGCAAATGAGCGTGGGCCGGGTCACTGGCATGGCTCATCGAGAGCCCGCTGTAGGGGTTCAGCACCCAGTAGGCAGCCGCTACTGGTAAGGCCGCTGCTGGCCTCCCCCTGACGCAGTGGGGACAGCCACATGCAGGCATCCCAGGACAGTGGAGCATGCGGTCATCATTCCTCGCAGACTTCCTGGCCCCGGGGGGCTCCAGCCCCGCAAACACCTGTGAAGTGGAGCAGAGCCGGGACCTGGAGAACCAGACACCAGCTGTGAGTCTCAGTCCCGTTGTGACCACCCCACACACCGGCCCTCGGACAGTTACTTATTCAACCTCTCTTAGCTACTGTATTCTCATCCGGGAAATGGGCCTATGAGGAATAGATTCCTCGTGGGGTTGGTGGGCAGGTACACTGCATGCTTCATCTCGTTCCATCCTTGTGACAGCTCTAGGAGCTGGACGTTATTACGGGCCTCATTTTAGAAATGTGGGCACTGAAACGTGGGGTGGTGAAGTCACTTGTGCAGGTGGTGCAGCTGGTCATGGTGGAGCCAGGCCAGGCCCCCCATTGCTGTGCTGTTCTCAGCACTGTGCCTGGTACTAACCTATTCAGCATAACTACACAGGCTTGCCACGGCAGGTTCTTGCAAGGTCAAGGTGGGACAACCCACGTGAAGGAGCTAATACCTACCAGGTCCTTAAAAGCATTTGCTGAATGACTAACACATGTTGGTGAGCTCAACAAATATTTGTTATGTTCTTCAGCTGCATTCTCTAATTGTTAATTCCATAGAAGCTTTCCTCTGATTGGGATAACCATGGGGGGAAGGGAAATCTCCCTCATCCTGTATTATACAAATGTCAGGTTTAACAAACAAATTACAAGGGAGCTGATTTTCTTTGTGTCCTGACCTCATTTATATTAAGCAACATTGAACCTATTTGCCTGTGATCATACAACGGGGAAGCAGATGATAAATGTCAGGATCTAGGGCAAGCCCTTCCTTCTGCCTGTTCCAACCGGGTCCTGGACTTCTCTACTGTGCCAGGGGCAATCCAACACCCAGGGCTGTCCCAGGAGAACAGAGCTGGGAGCCGCTTCACTTTCCTTGCCTCCGATAAGGCCTCTCCATGGACTGATTGCTGTGCCGTGTTTTGTGTGGTGGTTTTCCACATTTTGTGATGTATTTCCCTTTCAAAACTTATAAAATAACAACCCTATGAATTTATCTCTAAATGCAATGAAGAAGATACATAGAATAAAGCAAGATCATATACGGAAAAGTACTTTCAAACTTTCTTTAAAATTTCTGTACAACTGCGAGGTTTTAAAAACCGGCTTTGGGTGCCTGGGTGGCTCACTTGGTTAAGCGACTGCCTTCGGCTCAGGCCATGATCCTGGAGTCCCAGGATCGAGTCCCAAGATCGGCTCCCTGCTCGGCGGGGAGTCTGCTTCTCCCTCTGACCCTCTTCCCTCTCATGCTCTCTATCTCTCATTCTCTCTCTCTCAAATAAAAAAAAAACAAAGCAAAAAAACCGGCTTAGGGGCGCCTGGGTGGCTCAGATGGTTAAGCGACTGCCTTCGGCTCAGGTCATGATCCTGGAGTCCCGGGATCGAGTCCCGCATCGGGCTCCCTGCTTGGCAGGGAGTCTGCTTCTCCCTCTGACCCTCTCCCCTCTCATGCTCTCTCTCTATCTCATTCTCTCTCTCAAATAAATAAATAAAAAATCTTTAAAAAAAAAAACCGGCTTAATAGCCAAAAGGTGGAAGCAACCCAACTGTCCATTAGCAGATGAAGGGATAAACAAAATGGAGCATGTACATACAACCGAATGTTATTCGGCCTTGAAAAGGAAGGAAATTCTGACACACGCTACAACATAGATGAATTTTGAGGACATTATGCTAAGGGAAATAAGTAAGCGTCAAAGGGACAAATATTACAAGACTGCACTTATGTGAGGTACCAGAGTAGTCAAGTCAATGGATTCAGAGTGTAATATGGCGGCTGTCAGGGGCCGGGGAGAGGAAGAAGGGAATGGAGAGTTACTGTTTCATGAGTACCGGGTTTCAGCTCTGCAAGCTGTTCTGGAGATGGATGATGGTGATGAGTGCACCAAACTGTACCTTTAAAAATGGTTAAGATGGTGGGGCGCCTGGGTGGCTCAGTTGGTTAAGCGACTGCCTACGGCTCAGGTCATGATCCTGGAGTCCCGGGATCGAGTCCCGGGATCGAGTCCCAGGATCGGCTCCCGGCTCGGCGGGGAGTCTGCCTCTCCCTCTGACCCTCTTCCCTCTTGTGCTCTCTCTCATTCTCTCTCTCTCAAATAAATACATGAAATCTTTAAAAAAAATGGTTAAGATGGTAAATGTTATGTGTATTCTTCCCCTATTAAAAATAAGTTCATTTGTTTTATGATGGTGGGTTTTTTTTAATTTAAATTCAATTAGCCAACATATGATGGTGGTTTTGTCTCATGTTTGCCTTAGCCAGTTAAGAGGACACTGTGTTTTTCCTTTTAATAAGATCCAGAGACCAGAGCTAGGAAGGAGGAACACCATGACAAGGACAAAGTGCAGGGCTTGAAGCCAGAAGCTAGGGCCCTTAGACTACCCGGGGTCCGAAGGTGAGTCCAAGTGCTCCCTGACTGCCCCTCCCTGGAGTGAGAGGACACGGTAGTTTTGCGGACTAAGTGAATGATGCCCAACTGAGGAGTCTTAGGACTGAAGGGGGTTCACATGACAGAGGGCACCCGGGAGGGTTTGGGACCACAGCCCTATCCTCTGTGAAACCCGGTGCTTGACACCACATGGGAGCCTACATCTTGGCTCCTTCTAGCTCTAACGAACTGTCAGCACCAACAAATAACTCAGCCTATACGCTTTGCTTGTAGACAAGACCCCATTAAGCCAGTCCCCCAATTCCAAGGGATATGCGATGTTTTGAGAGAGAGCAGAAAATCTCAAGTTAAGTTTTTACAATTCGCCTCCGTACGTATAAACACTCCACTGTGTTACCATTCCTCCTCTCTCTCTCTCTCTTTGTGTGTGTGATGATGATTTAAAATATCAGCAAGTCCCTACAGTCTCATTTTTGTATCACGGAACACTACGTCTCCTTTCAGCTTTTCATTCCCAGGAAAAACTAATCCAGTTGGTTGTTTTTTTGTTTTGTTTTGTTTTGTTTTCCTTTTTTCTCCAAAGGCCAAGCCTTTTAGCATGTCATTATGACCGGTTGTAATTTCCATTCCTGTGTGTTCAGGATTGATGTAAAGGAGTTAAAAGCTTTTCCATGCCCTTCATTACCTCTTTCCCAGAGGTGAAATTTAACTTAATGTTACAGCAACGGTTCGGCAGGTGCCGTCCCACATGCTGATGTCCCCTTCACACATCCACGCCGGCGGGCAGACCGAACTGCAGCTAACAGCTATACTCTTCCCTGACTGCTGAGGATGTTCCTGTGCAGCCTGGAAAGGGGGGGCGGGTCCTAGCCTGGCTCCCTCCATCCGCAGCGGCCCAGCCTTGAGCCTCCTTCACCTGTACAATGGGAATAAAAGCGGGCTTTGGAACTGTAGAGAAGGGGAAATGAGGTGACATCTTGAAATGTCAGCTCCCCACCTCTCCCTCGAGCTCTTCCCCTTCTGTCCTTTATTCTCTTTGAAATGAGAATTTCTTCCCGGTCTGTCTCTTTCCTTTTATTTTTTCTCTTTCTCCTTGTCTTTCTTTCTTACTCTTACCAAGGGACATACTGAAGAGGTCAGAATAAATAGAGCACACCGTCCCCTCCCCCTCAGTGACAAGGCATTTGTTTTATTTTTTATTTTTTTCCCCTGGGCCACTTTTCCTGATTTCTGGTACACAGCCTGGCCATTGGCAACCGGTCATTTGTCAGCTGGGGCACTGATATCTACATACACGGGCTACTGTTACCAGCATCTCAATCTTTCTTCTTGAGTTTAATAACATTTTCCAATTTCCTACCATCTAGCCTAACTGCATCCCAGCAAATCTGTGGGTCTCCTTCATTAAAAGGAATTTTGCAGCAGAGTCCCTTCAACCGGCTGGGAGAAGTTTGCTCGCTACGGTTTGCGCTGAGCTACGTCCTTTCTGCTCCCTCTTTAAGAGACCTCGTTTACAGCTCTGCTACCAATTCTCTTTTTGCATCGGACGAGCCTTTTCTGTCAGCTTTTTCACCAGTAGTATACCTAGGCCTTCACTCAACATCCAACTGTTTCCTTCATGTCAGAAACAAAAACGGGTCCTTTGTTCAAAAGTTCCTTCATTCTCTTCCTCAAGCTCCCCCCACCCCCGGCTTTGTACTTTGTACCAAATAGCAGCTGTACCTTCTGGAACAGTCCTGAACTGTCTTATGCTATACAGTGCGGAGAATTCACTTTCTCATAATCTGAAGTGGCTGGCAGAGCAGAAAGAAACAAAAAACAAAAGCTGCGTTTCAGGAACTTCATTTCGTGAAATATACTTCCTTTTGGTAGTATGCCAGCTAATTTCTTCAGCAGGCAATGATGTTTTGAAAGTAAATGACTATGGGGGGAAGGAGGGAGTCAGTGAAGGGAATCAATAAACCAAATCAGGTGCCACTTTCAAGTGATGTTGTCCATTCATTCATGAAACTGTAGAAAAGAGATAAATTCAGTGGTGAATGCAATGTATTACCTTAACAACTTTGTTCCCTGTTTCTCATATAGAAGAGAATAAAAATAAACAAACAAAAAAACCCCACCTGTGTCTGATGATAAAGGAATTGTTGTAGATTACAAATGTCTTACAAGGTATACTAAAATATTAAAACAAATCTAATCTCTTCTGAATGCACAAAATAGCCCTTATATTAAAAATTTTAAATTTTATAATAATTAAAACCTGAGATTATCTGTTTCTTTGATATCGAGGGGTCTTAATTAATTTATTAAGATTACAAGTAGATGCATAGGAATTAAAAGGTCATTTGGCTTTTCCCTCTATAGTTTCATCGAAGAATTCATCAATTATCTTGTTTCTTCCTCATTCGAGATTGGCAAACTATGATATAAACAATAAGTGATATGCTTTACAATACACAAGTCAGCATGAAAGCAGTACACAGAACTATTGATTTTGACATTTATTTTAACTAACTTCTATCTGAGCACCAAATTACATTATTTTCTATTCAACAAATATTTTTGTACACCCACTATGTGCTAGCACCAAATTACATTATTTCCTATTCAACAAATATTTTTGTACACCCACTATGTGCTAGCATTAACATACACGCAATGGGAGAATACAAAGAAATATAAAATAGCCCCTTCCCTTGAAGAGCGTTCCACATTCAAGACAAGACACCTATGAAATGACTTGAAAATACTTACGAGAAATAAGATTATTTATGTATCACGCACTTTCAAAACGTTAACAAAATCCATGAACACGTTTTAAAAATTCAGGATGGTACAAGAGCACTGGGAAATGCAATTCTCCCTCGCCCCCTCCCCCAGCTCTTTTCCCAAAGGCCATCTCTGTTATGCCTTCCTTGTGTAGATTTCCAGTGATGATATAAGCAGATACAAGCATATACATAAGCTTATGTATCATCACCTGCATCACTAATTTCGTTACACAAATTTCTACCCACATTTTAAAAGAAGATTAATCTAGAACAACTAGCCATTGCTTAGCAACCTCAGGGAGTGATCACATAGTAGGTACTCAAGAATTATTTGGATAGCTAAATGAAAAAACCATTCCTCTCTGGTAGGACATTTCAATCTTTCTTTTTTTTTTAAAGAATTTTTTTGGGTGCCTGGGTGGCTCAGTCGGTTAAGCGACTGCCTTCGGCTCAGGTCATGATCCTGGAGTCCCGGGATCGAGTCCCACATCGGGCTCCCTGCTCAGCGGGGAGTCTGCTTCTCCCTCTGACCCTCTTCCCTCTCGTGCTCTCTATCTCTCATTCTCTCTTTCTCTGAAATAAATAAATAAAATCTTTTAAAAAAAGGAATTTTTTAAAATTTATTATTTGAGACAGAGAGATACAGAGCGAGAGAGAGAGCAGGAGCAGTGGGGAGAGGCAGAGGAAGAGGGGGAAGCAGACTCCCCGCTGAGCAGGGAGTCCGATGAGGGGCTCGATCCCAGGACCTGGAGATCATGACCCAAGCCGATGGCAGATGTTAAACCACCTGAGCCACCCAGGCACCCCAGGACATTTCAATTTCTTACCATTTGAAATAATGCTGTGTGAAACATTTTTGTGATCCAACCTTTCTTGGGTAGATTTTCAGAAGGTGAATTACTAAGTCAAGTTCTTTAGGTATTACCAAATTGTGTTCCAATAGCTATTTACTCCAATCAGCACCATCAGGGATCATTTCTTTTTTTTCCCCCATCTTTGCTAATTTGGTAGATGGAAAATGCAATCTCGTTGTTGCTTCAGTTTACATTTCTTTGAATTAGTGAGGTTGGACATTTTCCCAGATGTTGGTGGGTCATTGATATAACCTTTTTTTTAAAAGATTTTATTTATGATTATTTTTTAAAGATTTTATTTATTTATTTGACAGAGAGAGACACAGCGAGAGAGGGAACACAAGCAGGCGGAGTGGGAGAGGGAGAAACAGGCCTCCCGCTGATCAGGGAGCCCGATGTGGGGCTCAATCCCAGGACCCTGGGATCATGGCCTGAGCCAAAGGCAGACGCCCAACGACTGAGCCACCCAGGCGCCCTGATATAACCTGTTTTTGAGAATTTTCTGGTAGGCTCCTTTGCATATTTAACTATTGGGGTTTTTCTTCCTGAATCTTATGAGCTCTTTAAATATTAAAAATATTAATTCTGTTCCTCATTATTAATGAATAGTTCCCCTCATCTAGTGTTTGCCTTTTGAGTTTTGATTTAATTAGCTTATTTTTGGCTCAGAAGATGTACATTTTTATCTGTTCACTGCTATCCATCGAGTCATTCATGATTCATTTCATTACCTTTGAGGCTAGAATAACCTACTTTTTGCATCCTTTCAAGAACGATGTAGAGACCGAAGGGAAGTCCACCTTATACTTATAGCCTGTCAACAGGGGAGTTTTCTAAGCATTTATTTGTACAGGTAGGTTGAAAATTCATTCTCTCTTTGGGTCTGATGTATGTGGATTTAAGAAAACATCTTAGACATCCTTTTTGGAAGGACTTTGCCTTATTGGTGCAACTTTCAGGTGGGAAGCTAAACATGTGGAGTTGTGAAGTGCCATTATCTTTCTTCTCTCTTTCTCTACTACCCAGAGTGGAAAATTGCTAATGACTTGGTTTCTAGCCTGTCAATGTGTTCATCTCAAATCCTTTATTCAAACAATTCTTCCCGTTCTCTTGGCCACCATTAAAAATAAATCTGAACATATCAATCAGTTCTTCAGAGAAACAGAACCAACAGGACACACATGCCTCATCATCATCGTCATCTTCACCACCACCACCATCATCATCATCATCATCATCTCTCCACCTAGAGAGGTTTAATATAAGGAATTGGCTGACGTGACTGGTTGGGGGTGGTTAGTGAGTCCGGAACCAGGCAGGATTTCCATGTTACAGTCTCGAGGCAGAATTCCTTCTTTGGGAAACCTCCGTTTTTGCTCTTAAGAGCTTCAGTGGATTTGAGGAGGCATTATTGAGAGTAATCTTTATTACTTAAAGTCTACCAATTGTAAGTGTTAATTACATCTACAAAACTCCTTCACAGCAACATCTGGACTAGTGTTTGACCAAACAACTGGGCACCATATCCTAGCCGAGCTGACACATGAAATTAACCTTCATACTGATCTTCCCATTGGATTGATTTCTTTCTCAGTCTATGCTTTTATGACCCTATAAACTTATTTGTGAGTGTACAGTCTACTAGGTTTTATTAAACATTTTATAAGATTTTGATAGTATTCATTTGTGAATACAATCATTGCCAGGATGTTTCTATGGCTGGTTCACTGGCTATACAAATATACTGCTCCAAAAGTTGGATTGAATTGAATCCCATTCTAGGAATTAGGAATACACTCTATAGCTTTGACAATATGGTTATTGGAGAGTTTCTGATCTAATAAGACATATGATAAGAGGAAACGTGGAATGTGCGGTTATGTCCCATTGTCTGGGGGTGGTATGGAGGCTTGGGCTAAAACATCAGCTCTGCACCTTAATAGCTTGAGGGAATAAGGCAAGACCTGGGAAAGGGAGGCTGGAGGCATTAGTTGGCTGGGGTGCCACCAATTCAGAGGAAGAATATGGAGCCAGATGTGACTGCCCTCAACAGCAACCACTCAGGTACCGGGAGGGTGAGAGGTGGGAGCTATGCTATCCTGGTAAGGGGAGTGGAGCCATGTGCATAGTTGCTGCCAAGCTGGTAATGGAGAGTTGCTTATGTACAAGGATTGCAGTTGAGTAATACAAAGGACTCTTTACCTCCAGCACTGGTGGTGGGGTACGGGGATTCTGCTTACAGATGCTTTTGTGAGCAGAAGAAGTGAAGCTGGGCCTGCTTCTCTCTCAGATTCTTTAATAGGATGGACCAGTCCTTGGTCTCCTGGAGACACAATCCTGGGAGTAAGAACAGTCACAATCACCTCCTAAGAAATGAAGAATCTGAGGCTTGGAGTGGGTAGGTCTCTTGCACAATGCCACGTGGCTATCTGGTAAGATAAATGTATTCATATGTGTTATCGGTTGAATTGCATCCATCCCCCCTAAATTCATGTGTCAAAATCTTACCCTCTGGTATCTTAGAATGAGGCCTTATTCAGAGATGGGTCATTGCAGATGTCATTAATTAAGATGAGGTCCTCCTGAAGTAGGGTGGGCCACTAATCCAATATGACTGCTGTCCTTATAAAAAGAGAAAACTGGGACACAGGCATTGCATGCAGGCGGAGCGTCACAGGAAGATGATGCAGAGATTGGACGATGCTTCCATAAGCTAAGAAACAGCAAAGATTGCCAGCAACCACCAGAAGCCAGGGGAGAGGCATGGAACAGATTTTTCTAACAATCCTCAAAAAGAGCCAACCCCACCAACATCTTTTTCATGAAATTCAAAACTGTAACAGAATAAATTTCTGTTGTTAAGCCATTCAGTTGGTGGCAGTTTGTTCTAGCAGCCTGAGGAAACTAATAGGACATGAAAGCATCTATTACTCTTTTTGTTTGTTTTTAATGAAAAAAAAATCTTGGAAATTGATTCAATTTCTTATTTTAAGTGAGAACAGGTTTTGCTTAGCAAATACATAAACAGAAGTTCTTATAATTTAACAAAAATGGTGACATGAAAATTTGGACACGGAGTATGTATTTATCCTGTAAGGAAACCAAAAGATTTCTCAATGAGATAATTTGAAGGTGCACATTATTTTCCATTTATCCATTCACCAGGTGAAGATGTTTGGAATCCCCACAGAAACTTTGAGAATCACTGAGTTAGAATCACAATCCAGGATTATTCAGAGGTTTCAGAGACTTCCTCTGTAAGAGGAGTAGTAACGCAACATTCCCCCTCAGACTAAATTATATTTGATTTTTATTTTCATGAGCATTTTTCAATAACAGCAATTTTAAAACTTATACTGAAATTTCATTTGAATGAGCTGAGAGTTTGGTTTCTTTTATTGAAGTATAGTTGACATACAATATTATATTGGTTTCAGATGGTACAACATAGTGATTCAACATTTATATACATTATGAAATGATCACCACAATAAATCTAGTACCATCTGTTACCATACAAACTTGTTACATATTATTGACTGTATCCTTCTATGGTGTACATTGTATCCCTGTGTCTTATTTATTTTGCGACTGGAAGTTTGTACCTTTTACTCCCCTGTCCTTATTTTGCCGGTCTCACAGCTCCCTCTCCCCTCTAGCAGTCATCATGTTGTTTTCTGCATCTATGAGTCTATTTCTGTTTTTGTTTTTGTTTCTTTGAGAGAGAGAGTGAGCGGGGAGGGGCAGAGGGAGAGAAGCTCAAGCCGACTTGGCACTGAGCACAGAGCCCGATGTGAGGCTCGATCCCACAACCCTGAGATCATTACCTGAGCCGAAATCAAGAGTCGGATACTTAACCAACTGAGCCACCCAGGCGCCCCTATTTCTGTTTTGTTTTGTTTTTAATTTTTAAAAAAGATTTTATTTATTTGACAGAGATAGATAGAGACAGCAAGAAAGACAACAAAAGCAGGGGGAGTGGCAGGCAGAGGGAGAGGGAGAAGCAGGCTCCCCACTGAGCAAGGAGCCCGATGCGGGTCTCTAACCCAGGACCCTAGGATCACGACCTGAGCAGAAGGCAGCCACTTAACCGACTGAGCCACTCAGGCGCCCGTTTGTTTTGTTTTTTAGGTTCCACATACAATTGAAATCAGATAGTATTTGTCTTTCTCCATCTGACTTATTTCACTCTAGATCCATCCATATTGTCACAAATGGCAAATTTTCATTCTTTTTTATGATCTTCATCCATTCATTCATTGATGGACACTTAGGTTGTTTCCCTATCTTGGCTATTGTAAATAATGCTGCCCCAGTGGTCTCAGTTGGTGGAGCATGTGACTCTTGATCTCAGGGTTGTGAGTTCAAGCCCCATGTGGGGTGTAGAGATGATTTAGAAATAAAATATTAAAACATAATAATGCTGCAATGAACATGGGGGTGTCCCTATCTTTTCAAAGTAGTGTTTTCATTTTCTTTGGGTAATACAGGGACGTAGGATTCCTGGATCATATCGGTGGTCCTATTTGTAACTTTGTGAGGAAACTCCATGCTGTTTTCCATAGTGACTCCAATTTACATTCCCACCAACAGTGCACAAGTGTTCCCTTTTCTCCACATCCTCGCCAACACTTGCTATTTTTTATCTTTTTCATACTAGCCACCTCTGTGTGAGGTGATATCTCACTGTGGTTTTGATTTGTGGAGACGTTCATTTTAGTGAAATTATTTTTTTTTAAAACATGCTGGAATTTGTTTTAACAGATTGACATAATAATTAATTGTCTTTCCATAGGTTCAGCAGCAGCAGCAGCAGCTACCCAAGAGGAGGTTTTCTCCCCCTAGATCCCTGAAGATAGATTTAAAGTTTTCTGTCACTCCATGGAATAACACAAAAGATGCAAAACTAATAGAAATGCAAACACAGAACTAAAAGGAAGAGTTTCTTGGTGAGATCTATTGATGGAAAAAATTAAAGTATCAAGTAAAAATAGAAGTCCTGTTTTGGGGGCACCTGGGTGGCTCAGTTGGTTAAGCATCTGCCTTCGGCTCAGGTCATGATCTCAGAGTCCTGGGATCGAGTCCCACGTCAGGCTCCTTGCTCAGCAGGAAGCCTGCTTCTCCCTCTGCCTGTCACTCTCCCTGCTTGTTTCCCTCTCTCTCTGGCAAATAAATAAATAAAATCTTATTTAAAAAGAAGTCCTAATTTTGGAGCTTTTTTTAGCTTTGTTTGTTTTGGTTTTTTTGGTTTGTTGTTGTTGTTTTTGAAAAAAGCAAATGGTCATAAGTAGTCAATCACAGTTACAATGCATAAACGTTTCAGAGGTAATTTGAACCATTCAGGGCTACTTTGGAGGTTTTAGCCTATTCTGTTGTCCTGTAAAATCCAAAGAAGGACTTCTGGTTTGAGCACTGTTTGGGGGCCAGAAATGGAAAGTCACTTTGTTTGGTTATTTACTTTTCCATCCGAAAATGGAATACCATTACTGACAATCTTACAGAAAGAGCAGAAAGAAAAATATTTGTAGAGTATTTCAAAACTAATTCATACCTTTTACAATTATTATCTAATTAGATAAACTACATGTTGTTTTAGTGCATTTTTCAAAAAAGTAATTTCCATTGCAAATGTTTTCTTCATAGGATAATTGCATGTCAAGCTCGACATCATTTTGGTTGTTGTCACTAAAGATGACTGCTAACCTGAAAATATTTGGATAATGAGAAAAATGCCACCCAATTTATGAATGTTACATACATGAGAAGGAATGGCCATTGAATAGCATGTGTTGGTATTCAAAAGGATCCAAAATACTCCAGAAAATTAGGAAACTGAAGAAATAGAGGAAAAATTATGTACAAGATGGTAGCAGGCAACAGAGTCAGAAGACTGACCAGGTTTCCCACCACTTGTCCTAGTACGGTGTCCAAACACAAGTCAGCCTGACAAGTTACTAAAACAGCATTATCTTACGATTTCCTTGTGTTGTGGGTCCCCAAGACTTCCCCAGCTTCAACAATTTGCTAGGAGGACTCGTCGAACCCAGAATATAGTTGTATTCACAACTCTGGTTTATCACCACAAAAGGTTACAAAACAAAATCAGCAGAGAGGAAAGGCTCTCAGCTTGGCTCAGACACCACTCCACAAACAGGGCTGGTATGGTGGATAGAAATCCTGTCTACTGGGCTCCCTCTCTTTCAAGGCCAGACTGCAGAAACATCACCTCTGTTCCACCACCCACATCTCTTCTTCTCTCTTTCTCCTCCCCCCAGCAACAATAGCTGAGTCTCATAGCATGGAAGACACACCAGGCGCTGTTCTAAGGACTTTATATATTTATGCTACTAATCCTCAAAGCTACCCAATGAGGTGGGTGTTATTACCTCCATTTTTAACAAGAGAAAATAGAGGCACAGGGGGTTCAGGGGGTTAAGTAGCCTCTCAAGGCCTTACAGCTAATAAGTAGTACGGCCTTAATTCAAAGCCTTACAATCCGGCTCCAGGCCCACACTCTCAGCTCCTGTATGACACTGCCTCTCAGAATAACGTACCCTGGGCTGCACACAGTCAGGCCTTCGTGGCCCTACCAGATCCAGAGAACAATAGGAACGCTAGAGAATCAAAGCCAATCCTCTGCTAACTGCAAGTCTCTCCTTATGGGCATTTCCAAGTCCCCTGAATAGTCTTGATTCATGTTCTCAACAGTGACTAAATGAGCCACAAAATCCTGAAGTGCTTCGTAAACTCTTAATGAGCAGATTCAACAACGTGAATGCATTTGTCACTGAACTGTATGTTTAAAAATGATTAAGGTGGTAAATCTTACATGTAGTTTATTTATTTTTTTTTAATTTTTTTTAAATTTTATTTATTTTTGAGAGAGAGAGAATGACAGAGAGAGAGAATGAGAGGGGTGAGGGTCAGAGGGAGAAGCAGACTCCCCGCTAAGCAGGGAGCCCGATGTGGGACTCGATCCCGGGACTCGAGGATCATGACCTGAGCCGAAGGCAGTCGCGTAACCAACTGAGCCACCCAGGCGCCCTCTTACATGTAGTTTACCACAATTTTTCAGAAGCAGATATAATTTCATGCAAAACACTGCTGGTATGTAGGTTAGCGTGTCACCAATACCCCCTTCCTCGTGCATCTAAGTAACTTTGGGGAAAGATGTTCTTCTTTAGTTTGCTTGACTCTGTGCTGAGCCTGGGAGCTCACAGATCAAGCTGTATTGGCTAATCCCTGCTCAAGTGCAAGCCTGAAGATAAGCAATTGCTCATTATCATCCCTTTTTGTGTGTGTCGCACAATGGCACAATGTTGTTTTTAAAAGTGTTCTATACCTACGTTATCTCATCAGACCATCGTAACTGTGGTAGTTAACTGCCTTGCAAAGAAAATGGAGCAGATATAATCATCTATATTGTGTGGCAGAGGAAGTTGTGAGGGTGAGGCCTGGGAAGCGCAGATCTTGAAGCTTGTAAATGGCCGAGTTGAGGTCAGAACAAAGCCTTCTGGTTACCAGAGTCTCTTTTCTCCAAGTCTATAATCCCGCTGGGATGCGGGTGAGCCAAGTGAGGCACTTGCCTGGGGCACAAAATTTAATGAGGCACCAAATCAAGACAAATAATGGCTTAAGGCAATATTTTTTTTAAATTTTTTATTGTTATGTTAATCACCATATATTACATCATTAGTTTTTGAAGGCAATATTTTTAAAAGTTAAAATTAATGTTAAAATATCCCCGATGAACAAAATATCAAAGTTTTAAACGAAGACCGGCTGTTTGCTTATTTTACGACACTGCCTTATTGCGCAATGCGAACAGGTGTTTCCCATCAGCCTGAGAGGTTCCCAGACCCACGAGGCCATCTCCTCCTTGCCAGATGGGGGTTATGAGGGTGGCCAAGGGTGTGCAGACAGAGTGGGTGAAGCGGGGTTCTCTGGAGAGTCATAATTTTTTATTGTAGAGGAGGTTCAGAACCTGGCTGGGGTCAGATCACCAGAGAGAATGGTGAAGTTCACATTGGATCCCAAAGTTCATGGTGCCAGGGACCCTGTGCTTTGCTTGCTGCTGGGCTGCTTCTATCCACTCTGTCTTCCTAGTGCCTACACCTAGCAAGGAGAAAACACCCGTAAAGGAGTCACTCTACTGCACACTGAGAATTATAAGAGCCTAAGTGAAGTCCCAAGGGGTGCTCAGGACGGAGACACTTCTGGTTGGCTGGTCAGGGGCGATTGCATAACATGCCAGCCATTCCAGAGATTCTATCAGAGTGCCAGGGGCAAAGATCTATTTTTCACCACCCACACACAGGGTGTGTCCTACTTTGAAGGAGCTCTAATAAATGGAAACCTATATTTACATTAAAAGTACATTAAGTTGTGATGATTTACTTTGGCTAAAT